ATCCTGCCCTCCTCGCCATGCAACTTTAAAACCAGATTTCCCTCCTACCCTGCAGTTAAGTTTAAGATCTTGACCTTCAAGCAATTTTCCATCTGTTGAATTGCTTGACACATTGAATGTTGCTCCACGGATTGCTGAAACTAAAAAAGAACATATTTACAAAAGATTTGAAAAACACAAAAAAGAAGCACACAAAAAACATTTGAACAAAACAAACTAAGTCAAGTTATTTCCTTTTAGTCTATTATAAGTTTGATACATTGTTTTTAATGACGCTACCATGGACACTGATAATGGTGGAGAGGCATATAGACATAAAGCAAAACATGTTTATCAATCAAGGTCTAGTTATATACTAGCAAGGATTTCAAAGGAGAACTGCCCAGCTATCGTTTGGACAGCCACTAGCTTAATAAGAATGAAATGTTGGTTTATTGGGGCAGCATAGCAAATTCTCCAAAAATAACTAAAGGATCAGAGAGGTCATACTGTCTTTGGGTATTGTACCACCAGTTGCAGTAAGTGCATTCGTATCACTAGTGGGCCTGATTTGGTCTTTAAGTGCAATTTAAGATCAAAACTAGTCTGAGGTGATCTTAAAGATTAAGGAGGGACTCTTAATTTGAACTTAAGACTAATAACGAACTGAAAGTCCAGTGAGTAAGACTATAATTGGCCTGAAATCAAGTGAAGTGGTAAAGCAATAGCTTTGAGTGCGTTACATGTCACAGTGTCAGGGACCCCTCATTGTCTTAATGTACTTTTAGAACTTCCGTAAGAGTGTAGGCAGAATCTTGTTCATGAAGTTTATTGTTATTGTTTAATCGAAGCCAGTTTGATCAGTCACTGCCTAGAAGGATGTGGAGGTGGCCAAGTGACCTCTAATTTGATTACATCATATTACTTGTTTACCTGCACATAAGCTAGGTGGGGAACGTTATTCGAGAGAATTGATGTGAGACCTCAATGAGACACGACGATGGTAATACACGTTATACATCAGAATGAAATATTATTGATAGTTAGAAACTTTGCACGGGACTTGAGTTCGTTCTCTCACGCATTTACTTGTATATTCAGACTTCGAACCTTGGACGTATGGAACTGCGATCGTAAACGATCGGAGGCGGCTAATATTGTGTTAAGTTAACATCAGATCGGGCTGATACCCGACAAATTGGCGAGCTCACCAGGTATACGCTGCGTGGAGAGAAGAACGGAAAAGTCGCCATGGGTCAAGCTCCGGTGACACCGAAAATAACGCGACAAGGAGGAGAGCGAGAGGCAATGGACGCGTTGGTAAATGCTGTTACCATCATAGCAGGAGACTTACAGGGGAAACAGATCCAAGACGCGAAATTAGATGTTATGGAAGCGACAGTGAGAACTCTGACGGGGGGCATAGTAAGATTAGTCTGTAAAACCTCAAGAGGGTCACTTAGGAGAGAAATAGAACGTTTTCTCAATGCACATGAGGACAGAAATTTAGTTTCGTGGATTTGTATTAAGGAGCACAGAAAATACTTACTTATCAGCAAATGAATCATAACATTTAAAATCTGACCTCAAAATGATGCGGCAGTCGCCATATGAGAGGCGACTAATATTGCGTTGAGTTAATATCAAATCGGGCCGATACCCGACAACAGGTCTTGCGTTACTACCCACGTGCCCTGAATACCCACGGCGTAATTACTGGCAACGCCAGTTACTTCCAAAGCTGTAATTAATTCTCGGCGCTGCCAGTAATTACGCCGCGGGGTATCCAGGGCACAGATCGTGATCACAAGATACCGAAAATAGATTTTTAGAAAATAGATTTTCCATGTGAACACAGCCTTAAAAACCTGACCATCGTCCGGAAGACCCAGAAGATGGTCTCAATCCACCCCTTCAATAAGCTTACAGTTTCAAGACCATATGAGAGTTCAAATTCATATGATGAAAGTCCCAATATTTGAAAAATGATGACACTGCATAGAATAATATTATATGTTTAAAGACATAAAAACCAATACAACTGCTTATGTGGAAATACAGAAAATGTGCAGAGCCTCAGGCTGATGGGAGTTAAAATCACAAATGCCAGTTTTTGAAAAAAAAAATTAACAAGGCAGCAAAGCTGTCAAATGTACAGACAAAAAACAGAAAATAAAGATGCAAAATAAGTCATTTTGATGCAATAATAAATAATAGCACTGTTAGTCAACACTGAATTTTAATCATGCACAACAGGTAACATGGTCAATAACAGGAGCGGACCCAGAGATATTTTCTGACAGTATTCCAAAGTATCTATGTTGATCCATCCTCCATTTTGATGGTCTTCCAACAGAAAAAAAATAGATACCAGTCAATATAAACTTAAAAACCTGACCGTCTTCCAGAAGACCCAAAAGATGGTCTCAATCCATCCCTTCAATAAGATTACAGTTTCAGGACCATGTGAGTTCAAATTCACATGATGAAAGTCCCAATATTTGAAAAATGATGACAGTGCATAAAATAATATTACATAATGTTTAAAGACATAAAAACCAATACAACTGCTTATGTGGAAATACAGAAAACGTGCAAAGCCTCAGGCAGATGGGAGTTAAAATGCACAAATGACAGTGTTTGAGAAAAATTAATAAGGAAAACATAACAAAACTAGAAAAGCACTCTGAGAGCGCAGACCTCTGCCAAGGCAGCAATTTATTATTATTATTGATAGATTATTGATCTTATATATATATATTAAAAACTTAATTGCAATATTAAACAAAATTTACCTGCATAATTATCACTGCTTCGTTATAATTAATCTAGCAGAGAGCTTAACCTTTGGGAGTTTACAGGGAAATATCAACGAGTGTGCTTTATGTAATCTCATTTAATGGCCTATTAATTTGGCAAATGACTTTATAACTCTGAAATTAGCCTAGTGATACCCAAGGGAAATTTACAGACTGACCCTCTCAAAGGTCTTCAGGCCCATATGTCACACCTTAAGAAAAGCACAAAACAATAATGCACAAAATAGGAGACTAACAATTCTGATGCAATAATACATTATATATGTTTAACTGCACAGTCAACATCAAATTTTAATTATGCACAACAGGTAACACTAACGAAAGTAAAAGCATAAGGCTTCAGGCCCATTAGAGTTCAAGTTTAGACTTAGAAAGTGCCAGAATGACAAAAATGAAAATTTCACAAAAAATGCATAAATTTAATAAAAATGATAATCTAATAGAGCTGGTTTTCTAATATGAGCTGTATGTCAATCCTAAGAATCTTTCTTGTAAGACTAGTTGAAAACATAGAAAGTAACAGTTTCTTTCCATAATGTTAATGGTGGCAGTGCACAAAGTAGGTTTTTTGTCAATTTTGATGCAACATTACATAATGATTATAACTGTATAAATACCAGCAATTTTTAAATATCTACTATTAAAAACATGTACATTAAGAAAATTTGATTACCACTGGGCTTCATGCCCAAGGGAGCTCTAAGTCCCACATTGAAAATTCCAGTATGCGAAAGATAAAAATTTTCACACACACAAAAAAAAAAAAAAATATATAACTTCCAGAAAATTAACTAATGAGACAGATTTTCCAATATCAATAGAACAAATTTAAAATGTCCAACTTGCTCCATTCTGAGATTCTTAACTTAGTGAATGATTGAATATGACAAACTGCAATGATATGAGTTCCTTTCCATTTTTGACACTTTATTACACAATGCACAATAAAAGGTGTACCATCATTTTTACATAATCAACTAACAATATTGTTAAGAAGCAGAAAATGTTAAAACAACGCTTTTACATATCTAATTAGTTCCATAATGAGACTGTTAACATGCTTAAGAATTAAATCTGAAGAAAAACCACTTATATACAAAAAAGCTAATAACTTCATCCAAGCTTGACTGATCAAGCTTATTTTCAAACTTGATCTGTATGCTAGTCAGACTAATCACTCCTGTGAGCTTCAAGACAAAAGGCTGATTGGTTTTCTTTAAATGCATTATTAGTGTTGCATATATGCTTAATAATGGAAAAAACAGCATAACTTTAAATTTATAAAAATAGTCCAATCATGCCAATTTTCGAACTTGACCTGCGTATTATAATAATAACTCTTCGTTTGGGCCAAAAAATGAATTTTCCTGGAGTAAACAACAATTTTCCCATACTTACCAATGGTTAATGAATCCATTTTTACATCCAAAATTAGTCCCAGGTTTTTTTCTAAAAAGTTTGGTTTTTTGTTAAAATCTCTTAAGAGATTTTAACAGAGTATAGCCATCAATGGAGGTCACGTGGTCTGAAGACAAGCTCAGATATCAGAATAATAGCTATAACTGCTGTTTTTATGGTAAAACAGAATAAATTATATTTCTATGAGTTATTCACAAGGTTTTTATTGTGAAATATAGATCTCATACAAAGAGTTAGTATCCCTTTAATATTCATCAGTTCTGCAAGTTTCAAGTCAAAAGGTAAAATGGTTTTCCACTTATCATGTTATTGGTGCTGCACATATGCTGAAAAAAGTGAAAAAAACAGCATAACTTCCCTAAAAATGGCCCGATCATGCTGATTTTCGAACTTGACCTGTGTATTATGAATATTCATCAGTTCTGTAAGTTTCAAGCCAAAAGGTGAAATGGTGTTTCCACTTATCGTGTTATCGGTGCTGCATATATGCTGAAAAAAGTGAAAAAACAGCATAACTTCCCAAAAAATGGCCCGATCATGCTGATTTTCGAACTTGACCTGCGTATTATGAATATTCATCAATTCTATAAGTTTCAAGCTGAAATAAAAAACAGTTCTCCACTTATCGTGTTATCGGTAAAAGTGCACGGCGACGGCGACGACAGACGCAGATGATGGCTATGAAAGGAAAAAATGAAAGGAAATTACCTTATCCTTTTGAGGGGTATATAGTCATGTATAAAAAATTGACCATTAAATATTTGAACTGAACAGGCCTCTCACCTCCTTATAGCCACATCCTTTGGCAATCTGAGTGAAGAAGAAGGTGTCATGGTGGCCAGCATCAGTTGGTTGACCCCCCACAGAGTCATGTGCTCCGTTATTGATGATGATATGCTTCAGATTGGTCGTACCATTTTGGCCTATAGTAGCCATGGTGCCCATATGCATGATGGCAGCACCATCACCATCCAGGCAATAGACCTGAAATGATAGAATACTCAGTATGTGATATGTAGATTTCTAAAAAGTATGACAAAAAGGAATCACTTATAGTTATGCATTCAGTTAAATTTGAAAGCACATTTTTGATAATGTGTAAAAGTAAATAACTTAAATCATATTCCATATTAAAATACAATAAAACAGAGGTTAGTCATGTAACCGCACTTCCATAAATAATGTTCACTTTCTCTCACCTGTCTCTCAGGTTTGTTTACTGCAATTCCAAGTGCTATTGCAGAGGCATGTCCCATAGAACCAACTGTCAAAAAATCCCTTCCATGACCTTGATGTTTAGCTTCTCTAACAACATAATACAATAAAACTGAACAGCCAGTAAAATGTTTTAAACACACAATAAAATGGTAATACACTCATTCATCTTACAAAACTAACTTAACATTCAAGCAAATTGAAATACTACTGCACTGTACAAGTAGGGTCATATCGTAATAAATTGCTTACTAATTGCTATCAAGTTAGTATTCAGTTTCATTACTTTTTTGATACAGTAACTATCTTACTGATATAACATTGACATTTTCCAAAATGAATGACTCAAATGTAGCTAAAGATTTAAAACTGTACCTGTATTCAAAAAGCTCTCTGGACAGCATCCCTGTTGTGCCCACCGTCACATCCATCTCACCTAACGCACTCACTATTACCTTCAGTGCCTCTTCCCTGTTTAGCGGGAATCTGAAGTCAAGAAAAAATTGACATACCTTTAGTCTACCTTTAATATCTCTAAGACTATAAAGAAAAAATGTGATTGTTTTTGACATCTATGCCCAGGTGACTTTCTCCTCTTAAATCGTTAAAAAAACACTGGAAAATTTTTTTCAAAATTTTTGTAATTAAATTGTGCATTTCATCTTTTTATCATACAGGCTAGGAATTGAAAAAAAATTACACTCACATATCTGATGCATCTGGTGGAAGCTTGTATGGCAGGAATGTTTGTCTTTTAACCAGCAAGGCATATGGTCCTTTGATTATCTCTAAATGTTGTTTAGCTGAAGATAAGACCTAAGATAGATGGAAAAATAGTAACATTTAATATTAATCTGACTAAATCTGCATGATGTTATTTCCATGATTATGTATTCTATATACAACATTCAACCATTCAACATTAAAAAAAGTCAAAACTGTTTTGTTCAATTTTCAGGTAAAGCTACATGCATATACCCATACTTATATAAGTGCCATGCAATTAGTTATAAAATTTTAATGTATTATTCCTGTGCTGGTGCATAAATTTTATGAACACCTTATACTGTAGTATGAAATAATTGTTAGATATCATGCAAAATCATATTTACCTATAACAAAGGTACATGTATATGTAGTTCTCTTGACTCAGCATGATAGCAAATCAAATCAAATATTGTATAATTGCTGATTTTCTGTTGCATTTTATCTAATCAGCATTTTCACCTGCTGTGCCCCCTCTATGTAATCTGGCAGTATGGAATATGGCACTCCTATTGCATCCAGGGTCTTCTGTGAGGCTTTGCCTTGCACTTGGTGCTGGGGTTCATCTTTCTTGCCTGGCTCTCCTCTCCAGCCTATCAGTAGTAACAGAGGAACAGAGTAGACTTCAGGCACAGCCAGAGATAGCACTGGGTTGACTATGTTGCCTAACCCGGAATTCTACAATTAATTAAAAAGACAAGACATTACGTGATGAATTAAAAAAGACAACATTTAACATGCAATCATCAGCTGAATTGCAGACTATATATGAAGCAGAATTAACCTTCGTATCCTATAAAGATAGGCACATATTTCACACTGACCACTTATTTGTTGCTACGATATTTATACAATGCGAAGTATTAATTTTCTTACTTCATGCAACACTATTTTCTTATAAAATTTTGTCAAAATTTGTGAAAATATTCAATATATATACTGTACTAGTACTACCATAGTATATTATCTTAAACAATCCATACATTTAAGAGGATGGCCTGGATCTATAATCTCTAAAAACCTTTTAATAATACAGGACCCACATGTACAGTGTACCACATTTTCTTAAAAGAAACATGACAAATTAAGTGTAGGTAATAGTTTAAGATGATCATATACATGTATTATGCAGAAAAATATTAAACATAGATCACTGCAGAAGTATAGTCTGTGTAGTCACACATATCTATTCTAGTACATGTACATGTATTTCTAATGTATCTGAGTGGTATAACTAAATATACTTATTGGAACTAAGATACATGTAGCATATAGGTATTCTTTTTGAAACTCAAGCTGAAAAATGGGGCGTCTTTCGATCCCAATCTCACAACAAATGCAGACTCCAATTATTTCTAATTAACTTATTTATTAACAAACATCAAAGCGGAAATGATTTGTCCACAATACACTGTATACCTGTAGATATACCATGCCATACTTCCCAGTAGCTAGGTGGTAGCCAGCCGCCAATGCCACAGCATTACCCTCATTAGCAGTGATGATGTGGTGCTCCTTGGATGTATTGGCTGTTACATAGGCACAAAAATCTGTGGAGAAATAAATTCATACATGCATTTTCTTAAACTATTTAAAATGATAATTTAAGCACACTGATATAAAGCATGGCGTTCTCTAATGTGTATGTTAATGTGTCTAAATGTACTATTAAACCTTCTGCTTGAGATGCATTAAGGCAGCAAAATTGTCAATTTCTGTGTATAATAAATCTTAATGCCTTGCTCTGATTCAGGTCAGGATCAGATGAATAACTTTGTCATTTTAATTTTATACACTACACATTACCGTACTAGTTGCAAGAAGAAATATATGTAAAGAATATTATGTTCCACAGTTTTTTTTTCTCTGTGGATTACTGTTATAACTTTAAATCAACATGTACACATGTATACAGAACAATACAACAACCCCTGACCTTTGAGCAGTGAATCTGGCACACCACAGAAGAAGTCTACCCCAATATTTTTCACTGCTTGGTAGAACTGGGCAGGGTCTAAAAAGTCACGCACCAACTCTGTCATAACTTCATCTTCTCTGCCTCGTTTTACACTTTCTTGTGGTTCCTGGGGTGTTGCATGAATGTTTTCAAGATATCGAATTGAAGTACAATATTGCTATTTTATTAATCTTTATTGAAAAAGATTTTAGAGGTATAAGATTCATAAATTTAATTATGTTTTATTATGTTTATTATTATGTTTAATTATGTTTGAAAAAAAAAATGCTGGGGAAAATTTAAACAGAATATAAAGTAACTAATATCCAAATTAAGTATGTGTGGTTACTTTTCAATCAAATTTTGAAAAGGATAACATTTTAAGTCCCAAACATTGTTAAGTACACACTATGCAAAAATTGAATGACTACCCTCATAATTGAATGTCCACATATTAAGTACATGTGTTTTGATAATTAATGAGTGTGACATTAAAATGTATTAGCATATAAAATTGTATACCAAAGCTAGAATCACATTCATTTTGTCCTACCTGAGGGCTTCCTGTATTTTTTAAGGACAGATGCTTCATAGAGGTCATGTAACACCTTATGGAAAGTGGTTCATTGTAGATCAGGCTGAGCTGGGTACAGAGTAATAAAATAATATTACCATACAGTGCATGAACATCAATTCCACATGTAAATACTATAGTAGGAAAGGGCATACTAACAGTTCTTGAAATAGTTGCTGAAGTGGGGAGGTACATTGTATCAACTCTGATATGCATTATGTATCATATGATTGCATAGTTGTACAGGTACATGCACCAGAGGTTCCAGTAAATGTACACGTGTACATGAATGTACACATGTACATGATGTAGGTACAGTACATGTACCAGTGTAGGGGTGGGGTAGCTATTTTTTCAGCCACGTCAGTCATAAGCATAAAGTAGGCATTAGTTACACACCCACCCAC